TTCAATAACAGATAATGAAAGTACAATCGACACTACAAAGTAACAAAACAACAAGTAGGAACATAATAGTACTACAACAAAGTAATACTACAAACTACAGGAAATAACAGATAGTCACAAAAATCGATGAACAAGTACAATTATAGCTTTGATCAGCAAGTCACGTGTATAAATTTGAATCAATTGAACTGAACAATCAAATATTCAAGACGATTACGGTTTGTATATCTCTACCTAATTAGACTCCCTGTTCCGCTGCCCACGAGACTCTGATCCTCCCTGGCTAGATGATGATCCAAAACTCCCCAAAGGCCATGGCAATGATATTGTAGTAAACCTTCTCCCTGATTCCCCACTTCCAGAAGAAGAACCACCCCCGCTCGAGTCTCCATCGTTGTCTCTTTGCCTGTTCTCGTTCTCGTTCTCAGGATCATCCGTTGGCAACTCATAGCGACAAACTGGGCAAGAACTGTGCAACTCAAGCCACGGGACAATACAATCCTTATGATAAACATGTTTACAAGGCATCTGTTTCACATCTAACCCCATCTCAAAATCATCCTTACAAACAGCACACTGTGCCAGTTCAGAACGCATCAATTCCTCATCAACTTTGATGGTAGGGAGCCCCTCCACCGCTGATCTCGACGCCGGAGGAGTCCCATATCGGTTCGGATCATTTTCTGCTAAATTCTGGATCAATTGCTCAAACCCGGGTCCGATGAAATAGTCCCCAAAATTCGCCGGCAATTGGAACCCACTACCCCCGTTACCCCCTCGATAACGAACTCGAAACTAGCCCCATTAGCTCTTAGAGCGGCCAGATGAGTCTGAAGAAACTCAAATGGGTTGAAATCATCAGACCCGGAGGACGTTTGTCTAGGGTTTCGGTTTGAGTTGAAAATAGCAGTGTATGGGGAAACACGAGAACCGGTGGTAAGAGCAGAATGCGGACGAGAACCGGTGGTAGGATCAGAACGCGAACGAGAACCCATGAGTAAACTACTCAACAAGACCGAATTGGGGAAGTTCGGAAACATTTCCGGTTCAGGGTCCGGCTCTTCGTATTCTTCGACGAAATCACTGTTGCAAGTAGGGCAGAAGAGATCGCCTGAAGCAGAAGGGGTAATGGTGACGTTGTTACTGCATTTGTGGCAGAAATACAGCGCTGCGCCGCCGTCAGCGACGGTGATTCCGGCGGAAGACATTTTGATTCTCAGAACAAAATAGAAATGAAAGAATATAGGGCGGTTGAAGAGTCAAAATATATAGATATTTATATAAAAAAAATAAAATTGCAAAACCTATTATAATTTATTATTATTTTTTTAAAAAAAGGTCAAATATTTTCATTGATTATATGTCTTTTCATAGTAGTAAATTTTTTTCTCAGTATGTACTATATATTTAACATCTTTCTTTATTTATATTATTTATGAAACAATCAAAGTCAAGCACCAATCTAAATCCAAATGTTAATAGTTTAGATTAAATCATATCAAGTCAAGCACCAATCTCTAAATTCGAATCTTTATAAAATGATATGTATTTTCTTCAATATAAAATAATATGTAATAATAAGCATTCAAACAATTTAATCTAAATGGCAAAAAGAAATTATGACGTGTAAATGGCAAACAGATGGGAGTAGTATTTTTAACAACTTGTTGGGATGCTTATTACGTATCGTTTTATAATAGAGAAAATATAAAATGATTCTTAAATTTGTTTAACGAAACCTACTTTAATATTTTAATTTTATGAACATTTTTTAATTAAAATAACTTTCAAGTGAATTAAATATTATCTTAATAATTGACGTGATTTTGAAAAAAAACTTGCTCCATATAAATAGCAAAAAATTGAAGTTGAAACACTAGTGATTCCCCTTTTGTCTTCTTTCGACTTGTTTCATCCCCTCTTTGTTTTCATTCCCATCTTTATCAAATTTAAGATCTCTTTTTTTAATAAATAAAAACTTTAATAGAAAAATAATTAAAAATGAGTATAATATATTTATTTATCCTGAAGTTTTCCATTTGAGGGTAATAATTATAGAAAAATAGTGCCTTCGAACTATGAGAATAACATTTTGGGAAAAATCTTTATGAGTACTAAACAAAAAATTGAAGGGAATTTACAAAAATGAATAGAGACTGAATTTGTTCACTATTAAATGTATGGTCAATGTATTGTTGAGTTAGCGTTTATGTGTCGTGCGTGCATATCATTATCCAATCATAAACTTAATATTTTGCATATAGTATATATGAAAAGGGGTCAAAACTATCCTTTAACTATTCGAAATAGAGCAAATACCATTCAACTATATTTTGGTTCAAAACTACCCTTTCCGTCTTACTATTGGTTCACTTCTACTCTTCAATTTAACGGAATAAGATGTGGCATTCAATGTGTCAATTATAATGTCACATAAACGTTCACCTAAGCACACCCACCCCACCCCACCCCACCCCACTAAATGATCCAACCTTTCCCTTCATTTCCACCATGGACTCCATAAACAATAATTTCTCCGACAGTATTTTGGTCGCACCAAACTTCATTTTCTCAGCCAAGATTTTCCCATCCCCGCCACGCCCTTCCTGTCTTTTCCTTCGTTACCACACTCTCAAAATCCTTCTCACTTTGGTCAACCTTTTATCTTATGTCAATAGCGCTAAGATTGCCTAAAATTGTTCAATAACAATTGCTCTTCTTCTTCAAAAGCTCTACTGGACAAGTATGGATTTCTCCAACAGAGAGTTCAATTGGGTTTGTTAAAATCAACAACTTGACCTTTAGTGAACAATCATCTCACTGTTCATGGAATCGATAGTGTATTGTACCATCGATCTCGTCTTGATCACACAATCAGAGCATTAAGGAGAAGACGATTCACTATTGTTGCTAGTGCGTTAACCATCAAACGGCCGGAGTTGTTAAGTTTGACTTCCGTTTCTATTATTTAGCTTCTGATATAGTTTTGTTCTCACAACTTGACGGATTTTGTTACGATTGTCGTCATCATGTTGTTCTCCGACGGTGCTGTTTTGGGGATCTTGCTAGAAATGCCAAGGATACTATGATTTTTCAAATTATCTGCTTGATTTTGACAGCTTTGTGCCTTCTCTATCGTCGACGACAATGGACATCCTTTATCCGGATGAAATAAATAACGAATTTACCATCATGTTCTGTCAACATCTCCGGTGACAGGAGATTCATTATTCGGATGAGATAATTAATTGTTATAACCTATAACTCCAGTGTTCAGTCTTGTTCGCCGGAAAGAATGGGATTCCGCTATGATAATGAATGTTTTGACATGGGTGTTCAATCTCTTGGGCCTTTTAACGAGTAGGGATGGATCTGCTTAGGTGGACGTTTATGTGGCATTATAATTTACACATTGGATGCCACATCTTATTCCGTTAAAAGAAAGGGTAAAAGTGATCCAATAGTAAGACGTGAAGGATAGTTTTGAGACAAGATATAGTTGAAGGGTATATTTGCTCTATTTCGAATAGTTGAAGGGTAGTTTTGGCCCTTTTCCATAATATATAAGATAATATGATAATATATTATTAACTTAAAAGTTATTCAAGGATATTTAAGTGCTTGTGTAGTTACAGTGTAAAATATAAACATTTAAGACTCATTTTTATGTATTTTCTCTTTTATAATATATTTATTATATAATAAAATCTAAGTAACATTTAAAACAAATATTATACTCTTAGGGGTCGTTTGGTTACTGTATAAGATACATCTTATTCATCTATAAAAAGTTGCATTAGCTTTACTATGTTGGGTGAAAGTTTTGTATTAGGTATAATAGCCACATAACTCATACCATGTTTAGTTGGTAAGAATTTAAATGTTGTATAAAAGTTATTCATGTATTAATTTATACGGTGTTTGGTTGCATTTTTTGTAATCCTACATAATTAATACCAACATAACTTATGAGGGAATCTATGTATAAAGTTATGCATGGTAGAAGGTGAAATAAGTTATGTGGGTATTAGTAATACATGTATTAAAATGATAAATTGCATACTTACCTTATTAATTAATTTATTTTTTTAATTGGAAACTTTACTGTTTTCCTATCTACGTTTGTTGTTTTTATTTCTTTTTATATACTTACAGTTTTTATTTATTTATGCAAATATAAATATTTTCTTAATATTAGAAATTTGATTGTATATTTTTGACGGTACATATGCTAATAAAATATTAGCATTATATATTATTCAATATATTCCACATTTTATAGCATGTATAATTATTTTGTAAATAATATATATTAATAATTTACAACAAGTTTAATATTCAATAGTTAATAATTCATGGATTGTAATCTATATAACTAAATAATACCTACATAACTAATGTCCGCATAGCTAATACCCGCATAATTAAACCCAACATAACTAAACCTTGCATAACTAAACCCTGCATAACTAATACCTGCATAACTCTAACCAGTAACCAAACGACCCCTTATTTCACGACCTAAAGTGAAATATTCTAAAATTAAACTTTATACTTTATTTGATCAACAAGAATAAATTTATTTACTTGTAAATAAATATTATATAAATTTAATATCAAACTTAATTTTAGAATATTTCACTTTATCTCTTGAAATAAAAGTATAATACTCCCTCTGTCTCTATTACTTGTTCACTTTTAAATTGACACACCTATTAAGAAAATAATTATTGACACAATGAGTTTATCATTTTATCCCTATTATTTATGAAGTGGATGAATTAAAAATTTAAGATTTTCAAGAAATTGTACCTTTTTCAAAGTAATTAATTGAAGATATAATAGTTAAAATTATTTTGTCGTTTCTTAATTTCTCAAAATGGACAAATAATTAAAGATAATTATAAAACAAAAAGTGGATAAGTAATTATGTACGGTATTTGATGTTAGATATATTCCCTGATACAATTGATTTCGGGTGTGAAGCAAAGAGATTATGAGATTTCTTCTCCGATTTGGAAGAATCGGAAGCTGCCGGTCTCCCATAATCCGTGGATTTTCACCTATTTGAGGTAAGAATCGAACCCCCAAACTGTGAATTTAGCTTATAATCTTCTTATGTATGAAGTACAATTGAATTAGGGATGAAATTGTGATAGGATAACTTTGGTAATTGTGGGTTTTCATTTCATACATATTTAATTGGGTTTTGTTGTCTAATTAATATGCCCAACCTTGATGTAAAAATTATTGTCAGAAATCAAGTGAAAGTTCCATTGATGAGCTGAATTGAGCTTCCATTGAAACTTGAAGAGAGAATTAAAAGAAAATATCTTTTGCGTCTGATTAGAAGTTCAAAAATGAGTGGAGCCAGGGGCTTTAGAGGTGAAGACGGGGAGCTTTAATTGAAGTAGGGGGAGAGGTCCTCCTTTTATCGTCAAGTGGCTTTCACTCATCATAGAGAGTTAGATTGTGTTAGTTCTCATCACGAGGATTAGTCCAACGGGAATTGCAAAAGCTAGGCTATTGCAATTCTCGGCTAAGAGTCTGTTTGGATCGACTTATTTTAAGTGTTTTTAAGTTCAAATTGTTTAAGAACTTTTTTAGTATTTGGGTAAATTAAAAAACTACTTATAAGCATTTGATTTTAAGCTAAGATGATAATTAATAAGTCAAAAGCCAAAAGTCAATCCAAAAAGGCTATGAGATATATACACACAACACCGACTAGCTAATTAGTTATAGAAAATGATGAAAATACCCTTCCTAACTAATTACCTAACTAATCAATCTCAACACCCCTCATATTGGAGAGGAAGAATTCACTTCCAGCTTGCCAAGAATGGCAATGTGCTTTATCCCAGTTAAGGAGTTAGTGAATACATCAGCGAACTGTTCGATAGTTGAGATATGGTGAAGGGTAATGATCCCATCCTGCAGATTGTTTCTAACAAAATGACTATCTACCTATATGTGTTTTGTATGCTCATGAAAAACATGAAATCTGGCTATATGAACTGTTGTTTTGGCTATCATAATACACAGGAGTAGGAGTGATGCAAGGAACATTGAGTTTTGTGAATACTCTTCTGGGAGCTTGCATGAATTGACTTAAGAATTGAACACTGTATGCTATATCCAATCCGGTATTAGTGAGGAAGTTGAGTTTCCCCACCAATTTCCTATAATAAATAGGATCACTGTGTAAAGGACCCTCAATTGCCTTCAGTTTGAGGTTGCACTCTAGTGGAGCTGCCACTGCAGTATATGACATACAATCAAACTCCTTCAACAAAACTGGTGAATTTCGTTTGGGAGATTATCACACCATCCTCCCTGTAGAACAATTGAAAACCTAGGAAATAATGTAGCTGTCCCAGATCCTCAGTTTTGAACACATCATGTAAGAACGCCTTCAGGCTGTTGATTTCTGTCAGATCTGTTCCTTAAGTACTATGTCATCTACAAACACTGCCACAAAAACTGATAAGGTGGCAAACTTTTTGTGAAAAGTGAGTAGTATTCAACTGAATGTGCAAATCGAGTATAAAGTTTCTGTTAGCTTATCATACCATTGTCTACTTGCCTGTTTTAAGCCATACAAAGTTTTTTTGAGTCTGCACACTAGTCATGGAGCATCTACCTGCAAATCTTGAGGAGCATCCATGTAGACTTCTCCATGCAAGTTTCCATGGGGGAATGCATTATTGACATCTAGGTGATAAAGCTTCCATCCTTGTTTGACAGCACACTGATTAAAGTCTTGACAGTGGTCAAGATGATCATTGGTGAAAATGTTTCAGTGTAGTCAATTCCTGCTGGCTGAGTGTACCCTTTGCCCACCAACCTAGCCTTGAACCTCTCTACACTTCCATGTGCGCTGTGTTTGATCTTGTAAACCCACCTACAACCTATTGCCTTCTTTCCTGCAGGTAGATTTACTTAATCCCAAGTTTGGTTAGCATATAAAGCCTAAAATTACCGTGTCATGGTTGCTTGCCATGCAGGATTCATAGCTGCTCACTCATAGGAATTAGGTTCTCTATCATGAGAAATGTTTTGCATAACCTGCTGGCTATCAGGATCCAGTGAGATGAGGGGAATTTGTTCAGTGTTGGTGAAAAGGGCACTGAGAGATGGAGATGGTTCTTAGACCTGGTCTTTCTGAAGGGGAAGATAATAGACAAATTCCTTCAAATGAGATGGGGTATTGTGGATCCTAGAGGATCCTAGGTGCAGGTATGTCTAAGTGGCTAATAGAAGTGGATGGTGGCAAGGTCTTATCAAGGAAGGATGATCGATGAAGTTGATGGGATGATAGACTTTGATCAGCAAGTAAAGGAGCATCATTGGTAGGACGGGTAGTGTGAAGTGTCAATCTGTTCTATAGACACAAGAGGAGCAGTAACATAAGGTGGAGTGCTCTTGGTGTGCAATTGACATTCATCTAAAGTCTGTAACTCTGTATAACAATGATATCACACATAGCTGTGGTCTTACAAGTATCACACACATTATTAGACAAATATTCATAGGTTGAGAAAATGCAACAGGAACATAAAGTGAAACATGACATGACTCAGTGAATTGGCACTTTGTGCTGAGAAAGTAATATTATGAAGTTGGGTTTGATGTCTAAACTATGTGTTGCCTTATGGATTCATTTGACGAATTGAGCAATTTGCTGGGAATTGCTGGACCTGAACTGTGACATTTTTTTTTTCCTTCACAAAAAATATGATTTTGGAAGTTTTATTGTTAACCGTGAGCATCTACGTTCTATGGATTTTAATTTCTTTTCTCATCTCAAAGAAATCAAAACAAGATATAAGAAAAAGAGAGCAAAACAATAGAAACACTTCAATGCAGCTTCAAAACTTTTTTTTTGGGTATTCAGGATCTAAGAGACATGTACTTGACTGCCTCTTGTGAAAAACTGACGTGTGACATCTTCTTTCTGTTCTGTTAGTATTTTGTAGTGATATTTAGTGTCATTTCTGCCATTGATGCAATCTTGATATTAATTACTAGCATGAAATGAATGTGACACAGCATTTAAGTAGACGGAAGAGGGATTAAAGAGGGAGCCATCTGGTTAGCTTAAAGAAGGCCCTATTTCGAAAACATTTAAACAGTTTTGCTCTTTAGTGTGTGTTCATCGGAACTGGGGGTTATCCATGATGTTTTCCAACTGGCTGAGTTTCTCCATATCAAGCAATTAATAGTCTTAAGTTTATCAAGTTAGTTCTCCGGGGAGATAATCAGATTCAACAGTAACATATTACATAAAGCATTATCTTAAATGTGGATAAGCAAGATAACATACCGCAGAACAATTAATTCACATTAACACCATCATTTATGTATAGAATGCCAAAAACAATTCTCTTCAAACCAATTCCACACACTAAAAAAACCAAAAACAAAAAGAAATTAAACACTAAAAAACCAAACCAAACAAACAAAAAACTGAATGTTGACATTAACTCTCTTTGGCAGCCCTGAAATAATCAGTAAAGCGGCAGAAGCCTGATTAATGCTTCTACAGTCCAACTTCATCTATGCAAATGTCTTCAAGTGCTTGTCGAAAATGGATAAATAAAAGACAGCTTCTTTTCCTGTTTTACCCAAATTGTAAGACACTGTTTAATATAATAACTAGTATTCAATAAAAACGAAAAGATTTATCAATTATCTAAAATAATGATTAACTATAATGTTCAAGACATTATAGTTACAATCTATTTTTTTTTTATAGATTAGGTGGGGAAGCTACAATCTTCAAAAATGTTACACATAGTTTTGAAAATTTAATAATTTCTCTTCAAAGTTATATATGTTATTACTACTTATTCTTGTGTGCTTACCGGTACCCGCTTCATAAGGACTTCCTATAATAAAAGCCCAAAGTTTGTGGTTGATGCTTAATCATCGGAAAGGGGATTTATTTTCTCCTTTTGTTTACTTTTATAGGGCGAACTTTGAGGAAGGTGAGTGCACAAATTCGTTATTCTTTTTACTGGAAAAATATGTCTCGAGATGATGGAAATTGCGTCCCTTTACCACTACGTATAAGCTGGTCAAGCTGATTGAGTTGTTTTCGGTACAGCTTTTAGCTTGAATATTCTGAGTGTCCTCCTTTCTCTCGACTGAGTAGCTTTTATTCTACAAGAAATTCATCTGCTAGAGTAGTTCTGCAAAAGAAAATTAATCAAAATAATGGATGGTCGGGTTGTTCTTGACAAGGGTGGAACAAGGCAGTTGCCTCAGTGGATGTTTGCTACATCTGCTGCTGATCAAGTAAAGGAAAAAGTCAAAACTAATAAAGTAGACAATAATAATACTACAGAGGAGGAGATTGTCACTCAGAGGCAGAAAAACAGAAGGATTAAGGATAAAAAGGAAACATTCACTGAGGAGTCATCCACTCAGCTTCCAATATGCCAAACAGCAAAAAGAAGCAGAAGAAAGTTAAACCTACCAAATGATGATTGTAATGATGAAAGCGCTTTAATGGGGAGTGAATGTGACAACAAGCAGGTAAATGGTGATGGAGCGGTTCCTATGTTGAGGAGACAGAAACAGAAAACGAAGAATTCCAAGACTGAGGGAGTTGCTGAGATGGAAGAGTCAACAACAAAAGCAAGTGATAGAAGCGGCTTAAGGAAGAGAAAATGTAGCAGGGTGAAGGAAAATTCTAGTGAAGCTGGCCCTAGTTTAAGGAGGCTGAAACAGAAAACAAAGAATTCCAGGAATGAGAATTGTGCTGATGTTGAAGAGTCAACACCAAAAACAGATGATGAGGATTTGACTGTTGAAGATCTAATGCACATAGCGGAAGAGGTGACCTCTTTAGTTCTCTTGAGGTTTCCTAAACAATTCTTCAAATTTATCATCTAAAGTAATGATCACATTTGGCCAGAAATGTGGTATCTCAGATTTTTTTACTGTTCATTTTTGCAGTATGCTGGTGATGCTGATGAAGATTTGACCGTTGAAGATTTAATGAGGATTGCTAAGGAGGTGATCATTGATATCTAAATCTTATTAATTTTGAAACATCTGAATCATTTACTAAAGCTTTTATTGCTATTAAATATGGGAGGCACTACTTCGCTTTCTATTTAAAATATGGAAACAAGTTATTAATCTGTGGCATTTGAATGATTTGTAAAAAATATGTGGTGTCTTGAGTATTGTCGTACTTTTATGTGGGAGAGGGAGGGGGCTAATCTCCTCTTCTCTTCTTCTCCTTATTTGTAGTATTAGTTAGTATTCATGTAGTATCTTATTCTTTAAATTTTACTACTACCTGTTGCTTCATTTTCTTTGTTTATCTTGCTATTTTGTTCTCATTATTTCCCTTTCAAACATGCTTTGATTACACTTCTTTTGAGCCGAGGGTAGGGGTAAGGTCTATGTACATCCTACCCTCCCCAGACCCCACTTGTGGGATTACATCGGGTAAGAAGTTGTTGTTGTTTATGGTGTCTAAGTGCTCTTGTTGTTTGGTATAAAAAATTGATACTTCGACTTTTGTTGTAAATATGAGAATTATTGGCTGTTATCGTATTTTTCATTTCCTGGCAGTACGTGAATGAGAATGAGCAAGCTACATCAGGCAAAGGAAAAAGTGGTCCAATGGAGGATGCTATTTCCATGTCAATAGGCTCATTAAGTGAAGTTGACAATCAATCTTTGAGAGGAGAAACAAATTCTGATTGTATTTCAATTCAAGAGAGAACAATTGAAGATGCTCCTCCTAAGCTTAACATGTCCGAGAATCCGACCCAAGACATGTTAGATTTGTTTCTTGGTCCCCTGTTGAAGAAAACTCACGAGGAGAAGAGAGTTGAACTGGTCAGAGAAGAAATGAGTTTAGTTCGTGATCTGAACAAGAAAACCCGAAGTAATCCTTCTGAGGATCGACCAGTTATGGTAAAGAAGAAAAGCAGTCTCAAGGACAAGGTATCACTATTTCTTGATTAATACTACTGAAGGTAGTTAGGTAGAATATTTGGAAGAATAATTTTAGTTAAGTATCTGAATAAAATTTACGTTCACTTAAACATTTACTTGTCTGCTTATAAATCCCATGAGAAAATATCTTTATTTGTAGATTCTTCATACTAGTTTTCTCTCTGTCTCATCATTGTACAGAAATTATGAGAACTTGATATCCAGTTATATAAAGAAGTAATATTTTTCCTTGGAAATGAATGGACTTGAAAGAAAGAATCCTCAATAGCTGTGTATTATTTTTTGTCAACTATACCTACCAAAATGTTATGTCAGAGTTAGCAACTATATCAAAAAGGCATAATACATAAACAAACTTGACCTCAACTGGCAAGTAAACACTCAACTTTGAGAGTGCACATATAGACACCTCAACTTGGTCCTAACTAGCAACTAAACACTCCAACTTGTCCTTCCTGTGTCTCGTGGACACCCGACGCTGACGTGACACATAAATTTTGAAAGTGGCTAGACGATCATTCTGTAAGTTGGAGTGTTCAGCTAACACAGTGGAGACGAGTTTAGGTGTCTAGACACTTGCCAGTTGAGATCAAGTTTGAGTGTCTATTTATGTATTTTGCCTATAAAAAATATACCAAAAATATAAATGATATAGTCATTCTAGGAATCTAAATGACATAGTGAAAGATTTTAAACAATTTAGATGGCAAATTTAACTATTATCTTCATTCATCAAATTGAGAACAATAATAATCAACATACAAAAGTAATCTTTACTCTCTCTCTGCAACAAAGAGTGCATTCCTCCCCTCTACTTTAATTGTAGAATTATATAAGATGAATCGATCTAATATATATATATGAATGAACTAGAACAAAATCTTTTCTTGTATCAACACCCTCAAATATGAGGGCTTCTTCCAGGATCGAGGACCAGTGAGTACACTGAAATTCATATTTCTCGAAAGAACCATAATTCATGGATTTTCACCTATATGAGGTAAGAATCGAACCCCCAACTGTGAATTTCGCTTATAATCTTCTTATGTATGAAGTACAATTGAGTTAGGGATGAAATTGTGATATGATAACTTAAGTAATTGTGGGTTTTCATTTCAAGCATATTTAATTGGGTTTTGTTGTCTAATTTATATGCCCAACCTTGGTGTAAAAATTATTGTCAGAAATCAAGTGAAAGCTCCATTGATGAGCTGAATTGAGGTTCCATTGAAGCTTGAAGAGAGAATTGAAAGAAATATCTTTCGCATCTGATTAGAAGTTCAAAAATGAGTGAAGCGAGGGGCTTTAATTGTAGTACTGGTGGAGTTCCTCTCCTTATAGTTAAGTGGCTTTCACTTCTCATAGAGAGTTAGAAGCGTCAATTCTCATAACAAGGCTTAGAGCTTTAAGCACTTTTTCTAGTGTTTGGGTAAATTAAAATAGTGCTTATAGTTGAGGCCGAGGACGAGGGAGAATAGTGGTAAGGGGGTAACAGGTTCCCATAAATTGAGGGTAGGATCTTGGAACATAGGTTCGCTAAAGGGGAAGTCCTTAGAGTTAGTGAAAATTCTCAAGAAGAGAAAGATAAATATAGCTTGTGTCCAAGAGACTAGATGGGTAGGTTCCAAGGCTCGGGATGTCGATGGGTTTAAGTTGTGGTACTCAGGAGGTTCTAGGGATAGAAATGGAGTGGGTATTTTAGTAGACGGGGATTTGAGGGAGCAAGTGGTGGAGGTTAGGAGGATCAATGATAGGTTGATGTTGATTAAGCTAGTCATTGGAGGTTGTACTTTGAGTGTTATTAGTGCTTATGCACCTCAAGTGGGCTTGGGAGAGGAGGCCAAAAAGCTCTTTTATGAGGATTTGGATGAGGTAGTTAGAGGTATACCGATCACCGAGAAAATTGTCATTGGTGGAGATTTTAATGGCCATATCGGGGCAACTTCTAATGGCTTTGATGATGTTCATGGAGGCTTTGGTTTTGGGGAGAGAAATGGGGGTGGTACTTCGCTTCTGGATTTTGCTAAGGCTTTCGAGTTGGTGATTGCTAATTCATGCTTTCCGAAGAAGGAGAACCACTTGGTACCTTTCATAGCTCGGTAGCTAAGACTCAGATAGATTACCTACTCCTTAGGAAGGGTGATAGAGGCCTCGTTAAGGACTGCAAGGTTATCCCAAGTGAAAATTGTACTACCCAACACAAGGTTTTGGTGATGGATCTGGAAATTAAGAGGGATAGGAGGAAGAAGATTGTATCTGATCGACCGAGGATTAAATGGGGTGGCTTGACCCCTGACCTTTCGCGGGAGATGGGTGAGAAGTTGAGTGGGATGGGGGCTTGGAGTGGTAGCGGGGATGCGGACACCATGTGGAATAAAGCAGCTAGTTGCATTAGGGAAGTTGCTTCAAAGGTGTTAGGGGTGTCAAGGGGTAAATTTGGAGGCCATAAAGGAGATTGGTGGTGGAGTGGGGAAGTCCAAGGCAAAGTGGAAGCGAAGAAGGCTGCATACACAAAGTTGGTGGAGTGCGTAGACGAGGAAGAGAAGCGGACGCTTAAGAAAGTCTATAAGACGACAAAGACAGAAGCTAAGTTAGGAGTTACGAAGGCTAAGACGGCAGCTTTCGAACGCTTGTATGTCGAGCTGGGGGACAAAGGTGGGGATAAGAAATTGTATAGGCTCGCAAAAGCAAGAGAGAGGAAGGCTCGCGACTTGGACCAAGTGAAGTGTATCAAGGATGAGGAAGGCAAAGTATTGGTGGATGAGACCTCCATCAAGCAGAGATGGCGAAGATACTTTCACAAACTTTTAAATGAAGAAGGGGGCGGAGACATTGTGTTGGGTGAGTTGGCACACTCGGAAAGACTTCGGGACTTTGGGTACTGCAGGTGTTTTAGGATCGAGGAGGTTATACGTGCTATTAGTAGGATGAGCAGGGGAAGAGCGACCGGACCCGATGAGATTCTGGTGGAGTTTTGGAAGAGCACGGACAAGGCAGGTATAGAGTGGTTGACTGGGCTGTTTAATGTTATTTTTAAGACAACAAAGATGCCTGATGAGTGGAGGTGGAGTACGATGGTTCCGTGGTATAAAAACAAGGGTGATATCCAGAACTGTAACAACTACAGGGGTATCAAATTGCTAAGCCATACTATGAAGATTTGGGAGAGAGTGGTGGAGATGAGGGTGAGAAGAGGGGTGTCCATTTCTGAGAATCAGTTTGGATTCATGCCGGGACGGTCGACGACCGAAGCCATTCATCTTATGCGAAGACTGGTAGAAAAATATAGAGAGAGGAAGAGAGACCTACATATGGTGTTTAATGGCCTTGAAAAGGCCTATGACAAAGTACCGAGGAGTGTCCTCTGGAGGTGCTTGGAAGCTAAAGGTGTCCCGATGATATATATTAGGGCGATAAAGGACATGTACGGTGGAGCCAAGACTCGGGTTAGAACGGTTGGAGGTGACTCAGAACTTTTCCCAGTTGAGATGGGGTTGCACCAAGGATCAGTCCTTAGCCCTTTTCTATTTCCTTTGGTGATGGATGAGTTGACGCGGTCTATTCAGGAGAAGGTTCCGTGGTGTATGTTATTTGCGGACGACATAGTACTGATTGATGAGACGCGGGACAGAGTTAATGCGAGGTTGGAGGTGTGGAGACAAACGCTTGAGTCCAAAGGGTTTAAGTTGAGTAGGACCAAAATAGAATATTTGGGGTGCAAATTCAGTGATGCGTTGGAGGAGGCAGATATGGAAGTGAGACTTGCCACACAGATCATCCCTAAGAAAGAAAGTTTTAAGTATCTTGGGTCTGTAATCCAAGGAAGTGGCGACATCGACGATGATGTCACACACCGCATTGGGGTTGCTTGGATGAAAAGGAGGAATGCCTCTGGAGTCTTGTGTGATAAGAAAATTCCACCTAGACTTAAAGGTAAGTTCTACAGAGTGGTAGTTAGACCGGCCTTGTTGTACGGAGCGGAGTGTTGGCCAGTCAAGAACTCACATGTTCAGAAAATGCAGGTTGCGGAGATGAGGATGTTGAGATGGATGTGTGGGCACACTAGGAGTGATAAGATTAGGAATGAAGTTATCCGGGAGAAGGTGGGAGTGGCCTCTGTGGTGGACAAGCTGAGGGAAGCGAGACTGAGATGGTTTGGACATGTGAAGAGACGGTGCGAAGATGCCCCAGTGAGGAGGTGTGAGGGGCTGGTTGTAGAGGGTACGCGGAGGGGTAGAGGTAGGCCTAAAAAGTATTGGGGAGAGGTGATTAGACAGGACTTGGCTCAGCTTCACATTACCGAAGACATGACTCTAGATAGGAAGGAGTGGAGGTCGCGTATTAAGGTTGAAGGTTAGTAGGGCTAGCGTGTTGTCCTTTCTTGCGAGGGTATGGGTTGTTAGCGTGTGTAGTAGTCTTAGCCTTGCACTTGCAGTTCTTGTCTGTGAGACCTATAGCCTTATGTTGTTTATTGCGTTTCACTTCTCTCATTGTTCTATTGAGGCTACTGTCTCCTCTGTTGATTATTTACTATCTTTCTTATTGGATGGTATGTTTTATACACTGTTTTCCTCGCCTTTAACTTGGATTTGATGTACTTGAGCTGAGGGTCTTTCGGAAACAGCCTCTCTACCTCCACGAGGTAGTGGCAAGGTCTGCGTACACTCTACCCTCCCCAGACCCACCTAGTGGGATTTCACTGGGTATGTTGTTGTTGTTGTTGTTGTAAGCATTTGATTTTAAGCTCAAATGATAAAAAATAAGTCAAAAGCCAAAAGTCAATCCAAACAGGCTCTAAGATATATATATACACACACACAACACTGTGTAGCTAATTAGTTATGGAAATGACAAAAATACCCTTCCTAACTAACTAACTGACTTGAACCTTCTAACTAATTAAATACCACTGTTGATAGCTGATACAAGACTACCACTTCCACCAACTAACTAACTAATCAATCTCAACATCCCCTTCAAGTTGGAGG